TGGATGATCTGTTGGCTCAGCCCTGTGTCTTTGTGGCTGGAAGCATCTGTTCAGCCTGCAGACGAGGAACATCCTCACACTTTCCTTCTGCCTGGATTCACTGGCAGATGACGCTTACATAACAAAACCATCCTGGAAATAATTACCTGAATTTGACTATGATATGTTTGGATGAAAGAAACATTTAAAAGATTTGTAACTGAGAAGAAAATAGCTTTTTTATTGGTTGAAATGTCAGACTAGAATCTATTTAACTTCCACAGACTTAAAAAATAGAACAAAAACAGTGGGTTTATCAGCTAGTGTTGGTAGCATGTCTGGCTAACTAGCTGTTGGCTAGCGTTAGGTAACATGGTTACATTAATCGACTGACTTTAACCCAGTAAAGCTCGGGTTGATGTTGGCTTTACTGTCAGATAGTGGCCAGAGGTTTGTAAAGACTCCATATTTTCATTCATACTTAAATGAATACAATTAGATTTCCAAACAAAACAAAATTTCTGCACATTTGAAGTCATTAGCATGCGTAAGCTAATGCTAATTGAAAACACTAGCTTACAGAGCTAAAATAACCAGATGCTTTGCTCATAGTGAGATATCTTTTTTTACTTTAATGCTTACTAGTGTGACATAAATCACTATTTTGGTTACATACTGATTTATGCCATATAAGTAATTGATACTTTAACAGAAAGGCAAACGGTTGCTAAAGGTCTCATGATAGAAACAGAATTAGAGGTTTCTGCTCTGTAATCATGGTGTTCAGTCTGTAAAAGAGGCTTTGGCTCCTCAGTCTGAGGGGCGCAGACCTTTTCTGGCCTCAGATTTCGATGTGGGCTTTTTAAGTGTCATGCAGGCCGACTGGAGCCTCCTCTGTGTGCCGGAGGCAGCTGAGGAAGAAGACGTGCTCGGACAGAGCGGAGGCCTGTTGTGATCCCAGGAATGCGTTTCCTCTGCCCCCCCGGTGGGGCGGGGAGCGTTTCCTGAGCTGCTTCAGCCTCTGAAGGCAGAGGAGCGGCAGAGGAGTCGCTGCTGTTTGTGGTGGCCACACGCATGCTGGGGATTCCTGCAGCCGGCTGGGGCAGAGCGGCGTGTGTCAGCAGCCGTGTGTCTGCAGACGTGTTCAAGCCGTGTTCAGGAGCCGTCTTCAGCAGCCATGTGTCAGCAGCCATGTGTCTGCAGCCATGTCTGCATCCGTGTTCAGCAGCCGTGTTCAGCAGATGTGTCCAGTATCCATGTTCAGCAGCAGCAGCATGTCTGCAGCCTGTTAAGCAGCCATGTGTCAGCATACGTGTTCAGCATCCGTGTGTCTGCAGCCGTGTTCAGCAGCCACATGTTCAGAAGCAGCCGTGTTCAGCAGCAGCACGTCTGCAGCCGTGTTCAGCAGCAGCCGTGTGTTCAGCAGCCGTGTGTCTGCATCCGTGTGTCTGCATCCGTGTGTCTGCATCCGTGTGTCTGCAGCCGTGTGTTTGTATCCATGTGTCTACATCCGTGTGTCTGCAGCCGTGTGTTTGTATCTATGTGTCTGCATCCGTTTGTCTGCAGCCGTGTTCTGCACATGTCGGAGCAGCTGCCCTCTTTAACACGCTTTAACACGCCTGTTAGCCCCATTCTTTAGCTAGAAGCCTGAAAATAAACCATAGCAGATCAACAGTACAAATATGACATTTATTGGTCAGAGGAAAAGTAAACCAGTGCTGGGCTCTAACAGATAAAGCTCCCTGAGGACTTCAGTCTGCTAGGGGGCTCTGATGGGTCGGTAACTCCCTGTCAGAGTGGTTTGGGTCACATGTTTGAAGATTGAGTCACCTGAGGGAAGCTGAGAGCTGAATCTGCTGGCTGTTGTTCCTAAAAGTCCTCTGGAAGGAGGGAGTTACCCACCCGTCAGAACCCCCTAACCACCATGAACCCCCCAGGTTTTAACCACCTCTGGTTTTCCCCTAATTCCTTTGTTCCTCCTACAGTATATTAACCTCAGAGCTCCACCATCAGTTAGAACTGAAGAAGCTTCTGGATCAGAGGAAAACTTCACCTCCAGCTTCCTGAACTGGACTTTCCTGCTTGAGTTGTTGTGTTGTGGGTTTCCTGTGTACACATGAAGGTCTGGCCTTGTGCTGCAGCCCCCCCCCC